TTTTTGTATATTATTTTTTTGTTAATAAAATTTTCCTTTTTCGAAATGAACTTATTTTATTAAAAAATATACAGTCGAATTCAGAACTTCCTCCTTTTTGAAGTTGGATAAAAATAATTTCATTTGCATTGTTTAGTAGCCGCAAAAACCTAAGAACTCCATTTTTAGATATTTTTGTTTTTTATAATTTCGTAAAGTAATATATAGAGTTTTATCAATTAGCAAGAAAATGTGATGAAATTTTTGCAATCTAAAATAATTATTTTTCTCACCTGAACTATAATTAAAACAGTATTAATATTATTATTAAGTATTACTTGAATAAACCATCAATGAATAAACAGATTGATGCACTTCACTCGGAAACTGCATTTAGGTGGTTTTATCGAACAAAAGAACTCAAAAACCAGAATCGAATGGTTTATTAAAGTCATTCATGTAAAAACCGTAGATGGTTTTTAGTGGTATTCACGTTTAATGTAGGTATACTATAATTCCATTCTATGAACTCGTAAGAATTCTGATGAAGACTGATATATGATTCAAAAACATTTAAACAGAAAATTGGTAATCAGTAGTAGAGCTCCTTGTGAAAGAGTTCTTCCAGGGAAGTAATGCGATCTTATCTATTTCTACGCTCTTGTGCAGAGTGGCAGTGCCCCTAAGATCTTTGCGATTCAAAGGTGGCAGTACTTTCCTAGACGAATTCTTTCACAAGGAGCTCTACTGCGACTATCTGAAAGGAACTGTCATGAAACGAAAACAGATTTTAGGTAAAACTACCCCTGTGGGTTTGAAAGTTTGTATTTTTTTAGGGTTCGGGACAGACCCATATCTTACGTATACATTAGTTTTGATTATAGGGTAGGGAGGACTCCCTATCGACCCTTACGCTGCCTTTCCACCATGTGTGACGTAGCGAGGCGGTGTGCGAGGAAAAAATCCACCAATAGGATTACTTCATTTTCCTGGCCTCGCTTAGCGCAGCTCCGGTGGAAAAGGGTTAGCGGAGCTAAGTATATTATTAGTATAAGTATAGCGAGAGATGTATGCAAGGGATGCGGGCGAGTAATGTATGCAAAATGGTGTAGGAAACTAGAACTACTAAAAGTATGACACTAACTGACATTGACAAATCGCCACCACTCACCCCATCACACCGTACCCCGCCCACGCATAACTGAAAAGAGTCTGTAACGCATCTTCGCATCGCGTCGCTGCACATCTTCTCACCGCCTACCTACCTTGCACAGCTTTGGTGATAAACATCACACCGTTTCACAGCGCTGCTACACATTCTCGCACCGCCTCGCTACCTCGAACATCTCAGGTGAAATGGCAGCCTAAAGGTATACTAGAAGGGCTCAGGTTCTGACCCCAGATCAGCCAGTGTACAGGGTTGTCACAGACTTCTGTCACTTGACTTCATACGGTTCTTGAGAGGTTAGTACCTCGGGTGAGCCGCCCCGGGTGCACGTACAATACCCCTATTTTCCAGATAGGTACCGGAGCTGTAGGCATGCTCACTTCTCGTTGTGCATTGCACGACTAGCGGTTGCCACCGCTAAGCCGTCGACTTTAAAGTACGTGGCGGAGCTCACTCACAGTACGCTCACTTCCCAACGCCGAAAAACGACGTATCTCTAGTTCCCAATAACCTAAGCGGCTTGAGGGACCAGAGGATATCTAGCTTATCCTCTACTAGCTCCCCGGGCTAGTGCCGGAGATGCCAGTCGCAGTGTCCTGCGACAATGTCCGGACGTAGCTTCCAACTTAAAGGGCAACACACGTGCCCCACGCGTCTCCTCGCTTCAGGCCCTCAACTGGACCGCTACTAAGATGCGCAAGCTGCGCATGAGACAGACGCCCCGGCCACATGCAGCCGGGGCAGACAAACATGTCCATCTCTGAAGCTCACCACAAACCCCTGCGAGTCTAAAGGCGAGCAAAGGCGTAACACTGGCGGAGGGCTTGGCCCGGACGCACGCTGTACTCTGGTCTTGCCGTCGAGCCCTTAGTCTCCCTGGAAAACTCTATCTCTCGGGTGAGTAGATAGGGACAAGCTCCATATCTTTCTACGTTAATTTTGATTATAGTGACCCTACCTACCTACTCTGACGGCATACGAGAAGGGCACTATAACCTGTGCGCGCACAGGAACCTTATAAATCCAGTTCTGACCCGAGATCAGCCAGTGTACAGGGTTGTCATAAACGTCTGTCACTTGTCTTCATCCGGTTCTTCGAGAGGCTAGTGCCTCGGGTGAGCCGCCCAGGGTGCACGTACAATACCCTCCCTATTTTCCAGATAGGTATCGGAGCTGTAGGCACGCTCACTTCCCGTTGTGCTTTGCACGACTAGCGGTTGCCACCGCTAAGCCGTCGACTCTGAGTCTCCTACCAAATCTCCTCATTGGTGGCAGAGCTGTAAGGCACGCTCACCTCCCGACGCCGAAAAACGACGTCTCTCCAGTTCCCAATAATCTAAGCGGCTGTAGGGACCGGGGGATATCTAGCTTATCTTCTACTAGCTCTCAGGGCTAGTGCCGGAGATGGCAGTCGCAGTGTAATGCGACAATGCCCGGACATAGCTTCCAGCTTAAAGGGCAACTCACGTGCCCCGCTCGTCTCCTCGCATCAGGCCCTCAACTAGACCGCTACTAAGACGCGCTAGCTGCTCACGAGAGAGACACACCGGAAACATGCAAAATCGAGGCAGACAAACGTGTCCATCTCTGCAGCTAACCACAAACCCCAGCGAGTCTATACCCAAGTCCGGGTCCACCAGAGACGCAAAGACGTATCACTGGCAGAGGGCTGGGTCTGCACGCTCGCTGTACCCTGGTCTTGCCGTCGAGCTCGTATTGCAAAAACGAGCGATTCGTTCTGTGTACCGTCTAGGCTCTCGGGTTTATCTCAGAGAAAAGTTTAAGGAGACTGGTATCATGGCATCATAGTACATTTACTCAAATATTTTATATGCCCGTAAAAATATATATAATTTCAATAAGAAAGAAGATATCCATAATATTAACCTTAGAGCTAAGTCCAAACTCATGGTACCACGATTTCGTTTAACCAAGGTAAACAACTCTTTTATGGGGAACTGTATACGTTTTTACAATAAGATTCCGGAGCATATATTAAGTTTATCATTTCCTAAGTTTAGAAACTACATTAAAAATATTTTGATCGAAAAATCATATTACAAAATTGAAGACTACGTGTTAGATAAAGATGTATGGAAAGACGACATGGCTCCAGAATCCACACAAATTTGATTCAAAGTGTATTCCATAGCATTTAAGTTTATTTGAAAAGAGCAATCCCTAGAGTTTTTTGCTCGTTCTTCTCAGGGAGGTCAGCGTAGTGAACGAGCAGTAGCTTAAATGTGACGTTTTCAAGTGTAAATTTATTTTACCTATGGAATAAATAATCTTTGACTTTGACTTTGACTTTGCTCGTGGTCTCTCTGGAAAACTCTATCTCTCGGGTCGGTAGGTAGGGACAGTAAGAAAGTTGAGAATCGATTGCTAAGACTAGAATTCAGATATGGTAGGGAAATTATCACTATTTTATCGTATCTAATCTAGCCGCGATTGCCACAGGTTATCAGTCGATGAATAAACAACACGTTCTATATAATAAACTCTTGTATCACGTTCTTAACTTTATAAAAGGATTTATATCGCTGCCGATACGCTTATTTTGTTAAATAATTTATTAATACAGAGGATAAAATGAAATTTCTTTTTTGTAAGTATTTGTTTTATATTGTGTTTTTATTAACGGACTTCAAAAAAGGATGAGGTGCTCAATGCGACTGTATTTTTTTGTGTGTATGTTAAGCGATTACTTAGGCATTTTTAAACTAATTTTGATTATTATTTTTTGTTGGAGATACCCCCTCAGTATTTATCCTATCCTGTTTCTCGCGCTTTCCGGTAGCCGATTTAATTTTTTTTTATAAAAAAGTTATTATGTAAACTACTCAATGCTTGTTTATTATTGATTGAATGCTTTTTTCGTTGGGATGGAAAGATTATCAGCCCTTTGGCCAGTTACTATACGGGTCCTGGCCATACAATAGATATTTATTGTATTTCCACTTGTCAGATATATTTCAAAGTATACTATGTAAATCCGATGTCACTACAATAATATAGTAAGTTCGTTGAATTGGCCTCGATGAGTAATTTTTTTTTGTGATGTCAAATGAAGATGGCTGGACGAGCAAGTCGTGTAGGCCTGATTATAAATGGTGATTTTAATAAAGTAGCTGTAGAGCTCCTTGCGAAAGAGTTCGTCCAATGAAGTACTGCCGCCTTACCTATTTCTGCGGCCAAGCAGTAATATGAGCATTACTGCGTTTCGGTTTGGAAGGGAAAGGGTGCTGGTGAATTTACAGGCACATGGGACTTGTCAACATATGTTCTAGTGTGACGGGCGCAGTGGTAGTGCCCCTAAGATCTTTGCGATTTAAAGTTCTGAGTGGCACTACAACTGTTATGGATTGGCGTGTCTTTTACCACCAGGCGCACAACTTATTCGTCCCTTTATGAAGAATAAATAAAAAAATTACTACTTCGAGTACGTTGTTTGGTATCGTATTGGTGAGTTTTTTGATAAGCCACGGTTTAAATGTGTTTATCATAACGAATCTGTGAAGAAGAACATAGGCGTCCCGTCGGCTTAACAAACTTTCGCTGATACGACCAGTCGATGTGTCGTTTTCGATGGTAGTAGTCGTGGGACTATTGATGTAGCGACTTTCGACATTGTAAAACAGGGGGTCTACTCCTGTCCTCCGTAATAGTGGACCAAATCAAAGTCAAAAGTTACAGTCAAATAATCATTCATTCCATAGGCAAATAGGAATAGAGGATAAGGAATAGACGCATTTGGCTTGTGCATGCGTTTATCTCCGCGACGAACACGACAAACGGTTCAAAATTTCAGACGCAAGTATTTACAGTCGCATAACTTTGTAAGTTATAATAAAATCCTTTTTATTTTTATTATAACTATATACTGGTTCATTAACAGCGCACCTAGGTGTAAATAATCGCTCTTTTGTATAGGTAGCTTAGTAAAATAATAAAAGTGCATCTATCCATATCGAATAGTATAGTCGCCTCGATTTTTCGCGGTATAGATAGGGATAAGGGACAAAGGACAAAACAAGAAAGTTAGGAAAAGAAAATAAAAAATACATCATTTTAGTGAAAAAGACATTTAAATGATAAAAGTTTAAAAGTAAGTAAAAGTACCAAAAAGACAAATTACTAGCCAATCGGAGCGCAGTTGTCACAGTAATGATATGGCAGAATAGTTTTCAAACAAATTAAATGACATTTCGTCTCTATTTCTGATTATAATATATTCGATGCTCTATAGAGACTTCAATCACCTATTTTACCTCCTTTAACATTTATTTTTGTGACAGAAAGTAGCCTATGCCCTTTTCCTAGTTAACATCTATTTCTATACGAAAATTTATCAAATTTGGTTCAGCGATTTGCGTGAAAACGTAATAAACAGAGTTACTTTCGCATTTATAATATAAGTTTGGATTTGAATTGTCCTAGTTTAATTGTACATTTTCAGCCTTTCTAGTCATATTGCTGGTTACATTGGCAGTCCAAAACTGCGAATCGATAAGGATATGTAGTTGTTTACCGGAAGATTATGATTGCACGGATGACTGGGACCCTGTGTGTGGAATAAAAAATGGAACTGAGTGCACTTTTAGCAACATTTGCAAGTAAGTTATAATTAATCTCGCATACATTGCTCGGCTACATGGTTTAAATTGAAGAAATTTCACTTGAGCTGCTGTAAAACATTGTACTACCAAACCACACAAATGGGCAGATTTTTTTACTTATATATTTCATGCCCTAAAGTGTAGTGAATAGATCTGTACTCAAAACCCACTTTTGAATATTTTGTTTAGAGTCGCGGAAACGTGGCGTAGTGTTGGCCTTAGTCATACGAGTTTTTTTTTCAAATTGTTTTTTTAGTTACAATCTCATTTTCTCGTTTTTAAGTTTTGCGATTTGAACAAGGTAGCTACTTGTTCCTCCTAGTGTGTGCAATGAACGATTCATTGTATAATAACATGATAAAGGAAAATATTGCCAATTATGCTCATAATTACATTGCTAATACCTCACTTAGTAATTGTATCATTGTTCTCGTCAAGCATGTGTTCTGATTTGTAATTTATTTTCTGTTCCAGTCTTTATCGATGCAAATTTTTATACCACGGAGAATGCAGGGAATGAAATTTTAAAGTAAATACCTATATAAGAAGCGGATTTTATAATTTTTTTCTACAATTACCCATTTATTCCATATTATAGTTCTTATATTATAAAATATTAAAATTTTGTTTCATAAAAGAGTCTACTTTTTTCAATTTTGTTGTAAAGTTTGCAGGGTACAAGTGGTATGTAAGTTCCTCTTTATGAAAACCTTCTTCACTCGCTCGCTCGCACTCTTAATTCAGCTCACAGCAGTTGCTGTGTGCGAAAAAAATATTAATGAAAACGTGCGATACACGTGAGTTGCCCTTTAAGTTGGGTGCTAAGTCCGAAGATTGTCGCAGGACACTGCGACTGTTATCTCCAGTAGTAGTCCAGATACCTAGTAGAGGATAAACTAGATATCCTCTGGTCGATCCTGACGCGTAAGAATAATCTCGATAGCTGCACGGAGAGGCATCGGGAAGTGAGCGTGCCTACAACTCCGTTACAAGCGAGAAGTGTTGGTAGTTGAATTTAGATTCAACGTGTTAGCGGTGGCAACCGCTAGTTGTGCAATGGACAACGTGATGTGAGCGTGCCAACAGTTCCGGTACCTATTTGGAAAATAAACTAGCCTTTTGAGATTCGGGTAATGCTCGTGACAATGGTCTGTGACAACCCTGTCCCAGATTGTTGGTACTCAATCGAAACCTCCATTGAACATTACGCCAACTTAATTTTTTGATCTGTTCTATTTTTATTTTGTTTTTTTTTTCTTTTTTTTCACAAAATTCGCTTTTCTTCTTTTTTTTTCAAATTTTGTTTTTTGTTTCTTTATTTTTTTTCACAATATTCGGAGAGCATAATATTAGTAACTAAATAAAGCTGTTTACAAAAATAACAGAAGATGACCAAAAACTAAAGTCGCCAACTTTAGTTTTTTCGCCAATTTTAGTGTTCATTGGAGGTATCTATGTGGCAAGTGGCAAAACATAAGATTACACAACTTCGCAAACCTCCGTACACTGTAGTCTCCTGTATTATTGGCTGTTCCCAAGAATGAAAAGTCCGCTCAAAAGTCCGTTTGGCGACACAGAGACGATTTTAAAAAAATGCGACGAGTGCACTAACGGCTATTTCGAAAACTGACTACCATAAATGCTTCGGGATGTGGAAGCACCAATATGAGCATGTTGTTCAGTCGAAAACAGATTACTTTGAAGGATGCCACGAGACGGATTATGATTAATAGACCCAGCGCGGAGTAACGTATGAAGGTTGGGTACTTTTGAAACAGCCCTCATATTTCGATTAAATAAAACGTTGATTCGAATTACAGTCGGCATTAGCTACACACTAATTTTGGGATTTTGGGATCAATCTATCAAGTCATTAAATATTTGTGTCAAGAGCTCCACCTTTTTCCTAAGGCTGGAACAGGTGCAAGGTTGACGAATTAGGCTCTTTTTAAAATTAATTCCTGATAATAACAATAGTCCAATAATCACACAAAAAAATATGATTGCTAGTAGTTCTTAAATATTTTTTTTTTATAAAAAAGTGCGCATTTGATCTCCATCTCACCCGACGGAAAGTGACGATGAGGTCGACTATGTAGCATGCACACCTAAATAATGCCTATTCACTCTCGCCTTGAAAAGGCCCAAGTTATAACTTTCAGGGAACAAGTCTTTCAGGCAGGGAATTCCGCTCCATAGCCGTTCGCCATTATAAATGTGGAAGCGAAACGCTTCGTGCGAATCCTTGGAATATCCACAACATAGGGGTGGAATCCCAGCCTACGTCTAATCCCTCGATGATAGAAAGGGGAAGGCGGAATCAAATTATGCAATTCCATCGTACACTCTCCGTGATATATGCTGTAGAATATCGATAAGCAGGCAACTGTATTGAGCAAAACTACAATTTATTAAGCTCTTTCTACTTAATAAAATTTAAAGTTACGTCCTTCATATTGAATAAAAAGGAATTTTTCTTTACATGTAAACATCCGTTGTTTATAAATTTTACACGAAAAATGGATAATTTAATTTCAGATAGAATGTATTGTTTTTGTTGTTTGTATGAATGTATTTATTAAAAAAAAATCCCACAAGCGAGCTCTGCGCAGTATCTACGCTCAGTCGCCTTTCACGCTTTGCGACGGGTAGGTAGACAGCGCGTGTGTTATTGAGTGAGGGTTTATGTCACAAAAAGTTTCTGTTTTTAATTTCACTTGTATTTGTGTTAATTTCCTTTTTTTTAAATAAGGTACATCCACAGAATACGTGTTGCACATTCCCAAAATACTTAAATAATTATTTTAATTTCTAATACATATCCAATTAAGGAGTACACAATATTCATAAATTATTTGTCCATTAGATTAATAAACAATTTGAATTTGAAATAATTAGAATTGGATTCATTCGACTATAAATTAAATTTAATTATTGTGTAGGAGCTATATAATTTTACACCATCAATAGGCACTTACTTCATAAATATTAAAAACATTGTTTTATATTACATTATTTTATATTACATTTAAATTACCTGATAACGATTGCAATACACACTGTTTGAACAAAGGCAAGGAATTATTGAAAATATCCAAATCTGGCACTGGACTTCAAAGCTCCCCATATACCATACTGATTCTATTCACTGGAGAATGGGTGCCCAAATTAGTACTGCTACGTGATATTTAAAAAATGTGAGACAAAGGGTTACGAGGAACAATCTCTGGTTATAAGGACATCTATACGAAATTCCCGGAGATGTGAAGGCCAGATATCAGGTGAAGGCTTTCTGGATTCCTTCAAGCCTTTGACAGTGAACAGTATATACCAGATTCCGAACCACACTAGCATATTCCAGGCTACTACGAACCAAACAGTCATACAAGAGTTGCCTAGTCGGCGGCCAAAAACCTAAAATTTCTTACGTTCCTTTTTATAAAACCCAACATCCTTGCTGCTTTACAAGTAATACTATCAATGTGTATAACAAAATTTCAATCTGCTGTCAATGATAACTCCAAGATCTCGTATTTGTGTCACTTCTTGTACAATCAATATAATAATTAGTAGCAAAAAGAAGTCTTTTCTTAGTAAATTCAATATGTTGACATTTATAATAATAAATAATAATAACGCACACACTCAACATAGCCCCGCACTAGGGAAACCCTGTGTCGCGGGTGCCATGGACACACACATAGACAACCACAAATTACACCCAAACTCACGAGAGAAATAAATGTAGGTCATACAAATATTTCGCCCGGCCCGGGAATCGAACCTGGGACCTCTGCGTGGCAGTCCGGCATGGTAACCGTTCGGCCACGGAGGCAGTTTAATAATTTAGTTGTATTAAGCACCATGCAATTAGCGTCACACCAGCGTTTAATTCCGTTTAAATTGTTTTGCATCAGCTTAGCGTCTTCTGGGGTGTGTACCGTTTTATAAAGGTTTAAGTCATCGGCATATAAAGAAAATTTCGAATGCCGTATTTCTTGAGTTATAAAGGGTCTTTCAACAAGAACTTTGTTTTCTAAAACAAAATAAAACAAAAAATTCAGATGAAGATGATTCAAATTTTTATTGTATTACAAAGAGAAAAGTTCGGCAACTATGAATGATAAATGATATCTGGCAAATGTCCACCACGACCACGCTG